TGGTTTTGATCCCAGGCCCAGGTGAGAGATTAAGGAAGAAAGAGGACGTAGTCAGTGAGTGAACACGAATCTGTGTGGCATGCCTGCTGTGTGCCAGGCACTCTGCTAGATGCTGAGGACTGTGCTGCACAGGGAGGGTGGGGAAGCTGGTGTGGACCCATACATTGCTCATTCTGAGCTGGAGCAGGAGTGGGGGCAGCATCCTTAGTCGGGATCAGCCTTTGAGCTCTAATTCCCTTCCTGCACCCACCCCCAACCCCAGGTATATTCTCACCCCTGTCCCAGGCTCACTCCATCCCAGCTGTCACAGGGCAGGCTTGGGGTGAAATAAAAAGCCTCCACTGTCCCCACCCCACCCCCGCCCTGTACATTCCATCAATGTGACAAATGCTCTCTGGGCAGGACCCCTGAGGCTGTCTTCTTTGCCACCAACCCCTCCTTGCTTCCCAATGAGTCCGGGGAGATCTGAGCAGAGGGGTGATGGATAGCCCTGTCTTATTGTTCCAGACTCCGAATCCAACAGGGGCCTGGAAGAGCTGTATAAATCATAGCCTGGGCTGGGCTCTCACCAGCACAGCTCGACAAGAGGAATGGAGGGCGAGGGACCATAAAACTGTCTTTGGGCTAAGTTGTTTCATTTCAAGCCAGGGCCAGGGAGAGAAAATGTTTGGTTCTTGGGAGACAGACTCATTTGAATGGGATAGATAAGCTGGTGGAGGTCTGCCTGTCTGATGCTGAGAGACTGAGGAAGGCTGGTCTCACAGGAGGACAATGGATGAGTCGAGTCACCCCTCATTCTTGGTACCTCATTCCCACAGTACAAGACAGGTGGAGCAGCCCAAACTATGAGAATGTTTGGAAAAATTAGCCTCTAGTGAGGAGCAAAGATTCTCATCCCAGCTGGTGGATAAATTATACTTTTCCCTTCTCTGAGGTAGGAAGAGCTGAGTGGGCTCTGGCCATCAGACTGTGATCAGGTAAAGCAGAAGCCATTCCCGTTTCATTTGCTCAGACATTTAATGGGCAGCTACTATGTGCCAGGGGCTGTGCTAGGTGCTGGGACACAGAGCTGAAAAGAACAGAATCATGTGGCCCTGCTCTTGAGGCTCTCATGGTCTAGTGCAGCAGACTCATAAATCCATGCTTGTAACTCTTGATTGCTTATGTCACATTTCTTTATCACTTTCAGCATCTATGACAAATCTTTGTATGTATTGGTTTGTTTACTTTTCTCCCCTCATCAGACTGGGAACTCCTTAAAGGGAGAAAGGAAAGGGAACCAACATTCCAGTGCCAATTACGTGCTGTCACTGGGCACTTGGCAGTCACTTCACCATCACAGAAGTTCATGAGAGGTTCCACTGTTCTTATTTCACAGATGAGAAGACTGAGGCTCAGAGAGGTTAATTCATTTGCCCATGGCCAAAGCCAGCATGTGGGGGAGCTGGGACTCAACCCGCGCTGGTGTGGCCCCAGAGCTCAGGCTTGTTCTCCACACATTGCTCAGAGGGTACGTTCAGCAGCTGAAGCTGCACCTACCTCAGGAAGCCGTTGGTTATACAAAGTAGGGAAGGAGTACAGAAGAATGTGGGATTCATGCTGGGAGGGAAGGGGTTAGGAAAGACTCCACAGGAAGGGATTATGGAACAGTTTCAAAGAACAAATGGAATTTGCCAAAACGGCAAGGAATGGAATGTCCAGTCTACAGCCATCCCACTCTGAACCCGCCCAATCTTATCTGGAGCATTTGTCTAGGTGGAAACAGCATGGAGGCATGAAACAGTTGTATGTTCTGGCCACCTACTCAAAAGCTCCCTGCTTCCTCCGTGACTTCCCTTACTCCTCCCATTCCTGTCATTAAATAGGAACTCAAGAATTCGATAAGAACCACATAGGGCCAGAAGCCATCGTTTATTCCTGTAATCCCAGCGCTTTAGGATTGCTTGAAGCCAAGAATTCAAGACCAGCTTGGGCAACTTAGCAAGGCATCATCTCTACCAAAAAAAAAATTTCTCTTTAATTAACCAAATGCGGTGATGCGCACTTGTCTTTCCAGCTATTCAAGAAGCTGAGACAGGAGGATCACTTGAGCTTGTGAGGTTGAGGCTGCAGTGAGCTATGATCATACCACTGTACTGCAGCCTGAGAGACAGGACAAGACCCTATCTCAAAAAAAAGTGGGGCCCCCAATGGGGCCGCTATACGATGGAGAAGACTGTTTTTGTTTTATTGTTATTTTATCTTTTCTGGAACTAGATTATAACTTCCATGAAGGTAAGATCCAGTCTGCTTTGCTCACAAGTATGACTTCAAAAAGAGCTGTGTCTGACTAATTTTGGAATAGAACTGGAACAGGAAAAGGGGCATTCTCTACATCTCTGCCCTCCCAGGAAGCTGATATAATTAGGCCAAACTGGAAGCCACTCCTATTTGGGGTCACAGAAACCAAAAGCCGGACAGGCACCAGGTGGGGCCCAAAGGAGGTCAGGCCCTGAGTCCTTGGGCAGCTGGTACCATCTTGTTCTGCCTTCTCTCTCTTCTCTGCCTCTTCCTGTCTAATTCAGGAGCCAACAACAATGTGCTCAGGGAAAAGGGCCAGGGAGCAGGCCTTGAACCTGCCCCAGGCTGCAGCTCATGCAAAAGGTGCAAGAGTCCCTGTGGGGCAGCAGCTTGAGGAATACCAATACTGAAGGGACAACTCAAAGATGAGGTGCCCACAAGAGTGCTGTGATACCCAGAACAGTGCTGGTTACCCTCCACCTTTTTCTCTGGCATGTGGCTGTCATCCCAGAGAACCTGTGAATCACCAGTCCAACCTCTGGAAGCTGCAAAGGTAATAACCAAGGGCAACAGGAACGGGACAGGAAAGAATAAAAGTAAAAACAGTGGATGAGAGAGTTCCACCATTGTTTTTCGGAAAAAGAAAAAAAAAAGGAAGAATGGTAACTGGCTCCACAGAGAGAAATCACAGTCTCAGGGCCTGCGATGGGGCTGAGCGACTCTGCAGAACCCTGTGGGGTGGAGCCCTCTGAGACACCGAGCGCAGTGGCCTGGGGTCAGGTACCTGGCTGGACAGCAGACAATGGTGGGAAGTCAGTTTTTAGAAGAGGGCTCCACCCACCCCAGACAGCCACTCAGCCAGTCTCCTGTGTCTCCAGGAAATGAATTTTTTTCTTTGAAAAAAACTAAACAAGAACAATATTGGATTTGGGAACACCAAGTATGGTGGAAAGTGAAAAGGAGCGATCTGCATGCTCAACATGTGCCCTTCAGTCCTTTCCTGGCCTTGCTAGCAACTCCCCAACACCACCACCCTTAGCCAGCAGATTGGAAGGACTGAACAGCCCCAGAGGGAACTGCCACTACAAGGCATCTCAATAAAAAGGTTGGCTTGTGACCCAATAACCTACAGCAAGCCCACTGATCAACTGACTGCCCAGTTACATCCCAAGCTCCTAAAATCAACTTTCAGTGCCTCTTTGTAAATATGAACAACAGAGGATCACCACATACTTAAAGAAATTTACAAACATGGAAAAGGGAAACTGAAGCAGAAAAAAGGGAGAACTGGAGCAACAGAGCTTTTGCAAGGAATGAAAGAAACTTTCAAAAGAGCAGTAATGCGTCTGGGTGCGGTGGCTCACACCTGTAATCCCAGCACTTTCGGAGGTGGAGGCAGGTGGATCACGAGGTCAAGAGATCGAGATCATCCTGGCCAAGATGGTAAAACCTGTCTCTACTAAAAATACAAAAATTAGCTGCGTGTGGTGGTACACGCCTGTAGTCACAGCTACTCGGGAAGTTGAGGCAGGAGAATCACTTGAACCCAGGAGGCGGAGGTTGCAGTGCAGTGAGCTGAGATCACGCCACTGCACTCCAGCCTGGTGACAAAGTGAGACTTCATCTCAAAAAAAAAAAAAAAAAGAGCAATAATGCTTCAAGAAAACACTCTGAAAAAGAGGAAAGATTGTATTCATAAAACAAGAACTGATCACAATGAAAAGAGAAAATTTTAATTTTAAAAGCCTCTTCAAAATTAAAAATATAACTAAAATTTTTTCAAAAATTGAATGTAAGGTTTAGAAGATGAAGTTGAAGAAATTTTTCAAAGAGAGTAGAGCAAAAAGGTACAAATAAGAGAGAAGAAAAGGAAATTAGTCTCTCAATGAGCCCAGCACAAAAAATAGAAAAGATATATACCAATGCCCACTATCCTCATTATTATGACACTTTAGAACATAAGACATTTTAAAAGTTCCTAAAACACAGGTAAAAGAAACAAGAATAAAAACGTCAAACTTTTAAAAGTAGCAATCTCAGATGTTAAAAGGTATCAGAATGTAAAATGCCTTTTACATTCTGAAAGAAACTGTTCTTTAATCTAAAATTTGATACCCAAATACATGATCAGTCACATATCAGAGGAGTCTAGAAATATTTTCAGATATTCAATGACTCACGAAAATGACCTCCTAGGCACCCTATCTTAGGAAGTTATTGGAGGATGGGGTTTAATAAAGTTAGACTATGGGGCAACATAGAATACACGGAATTCAGGAAATACGGTATTTACCACAGGAAGGCAATAAAGGAAATCTTCAAAATGATAGTAAACTGAAGCCTCTGGATGACAGTTAAGCAGCATTCCTATAAAGCAGCTAATCCAGGCTGCAACGGGAAAACAGAAGATGCTTGGAGGGATTACTATGGGGGGAAAAATAAAACAGATGAGCTCGAATGCATAGAAAGGAAATTCCAGGAAGAACAATGGATTGCACAGAAAAGGACACAAGGTCACAGTGTACTACTTGACTTGGTAGCAAATTATATTTGCATAGTCATTAGCATATAAACACCAAATACTGATTGAACAAAAAAGTAAGTTTATGTTGAAGAGATAGGAGGAGGGGAAGTGCAGGGATGGAGTTGGGAGAGAAGGCCATGAGAGAATTAAGTCATCTACATGGCAGTCAATCAATACATGATTCCTAACACTGGTAAATTAAGTAGTAACAATATCAACATTTTATCTAGAAACACAGCGATATATACAAAAAAGAAAGGAGACGTAAGAGTTGATGGTAACCGCCTTTAGGCAGGACTTGTAAGTGTAGAGAGGTGAGGCAAGGCCACTGTTGATTTCCAAACTATATATATATTTTCTTTGATGAATAAAAATTAAACTTTCATAAAAGAGTCCGCATGGTTCACACACAACCCAGCTCAGCTTTTCAGGGTGTGAGATCAGATGAGGATTCGTGGTCAAAGCTCTGACCAAAATAAGCAATGCATCTTTATCTGCGTGTCTGCAGATACCCCTTGGGGGACCCGACACAGTGGTCGAAGGCCAGTAGGCTACAAAGATTAAGAAACCTGATCCTGGTCCACAGTGTGGGTGGTACAGGCAATTCTCAAATATGCCGTGGTATTTCATGTCTGTGCACACTGGTCTCTCTGATTAGAGTGCTTCAATAATTAAAGCTCTAATCACCTGATGTGGTGGACATCTCTTCAACCTTTAAACACTTCCCATCTATCTTGTCTCCTAGAAAGCCTTTCCTGATTCCTCCTTCCCAAAGAGAGAGTTATTCTCTCTTTTTACCTATTTTTGAATCTTCCGTGTATGCATCTAGCAAAGCATCCATCACCCTGTGTTTCGGGTGTAAATAAACCGTCTCTCCAACTAATTTGTGATTTTCTCTGTAGCCATCAGCTTATGCTGGTTATGCTGTGGGGTAAACAACCACAAAATCTCAGCGGCTCACCACACAAAGCTGTATCTCTCATCATGGTACACGTTGGCTGTGGCACTGGCTCCACTCCACGTCTTCTCTTCATTGTGGGACCCTGCTAGAGAGGCCTGGTCTTATTCTGGACATGCCACTCTTCTAGAAGATAAAAAAGAGAAAATGCAGTGGGATCACAAAATGTCCCTGAAACCTCCTGCTCAGGATTTGGTTGAAAGCTTCTGCTTAAATTTCACTGAGGCATCAGACCTCGTCATGTGACTTACAGGTCTCTGTAACGTCACAGATAAGTAAAACCCTTTTACAGGGCAAGGCAGCAAATAACTGAGTACACCAATACGGTCTATCGCAGTCTCCTTGGTAGTAGGTTCCGCATCTTATTTTTATATCCTGGCCCTGACACAATGTTTGGCACCAAGTCAAGTACTCAGAGCATCTTCATGGACTTGAACTGATTGTCAGATAATAACCTATCCTGATACAGAAACCTAAGATCAGAGGGCAATTGGAAGAAGGCGAAGGGCCTGCTGTGGAGCTGGGAGGGCATCGACAACAGGCTCACAGCATGAGAAGTAGCACCAGGCTTGGAATCAAGAGGCCTGTGTTTCAGTTCAGCTCTGAAAGCCACTCTACCACCCTGGCTCAGCTTTCAAATGAAAGGGACGACCTCGATAAATCCCCGGGGTTCCTTCCAGTTCTCACTTCTTTTTTTTTTTTTTGAGACAGAGTTTCACTCTTGTTACCCAGGCTGGAGTGCAATGGCATGATCTCAGCTCACTGCAACCTCTGCCTCCTGGGTTTAAGCAATTCTCCTTCCTCAGCCTCCCAAGTATCTGGGACTACAGGTGTGCCCCACCATGCCCAGCTAATTTTTTTGTATTTTTAGTAGAGACAGGGTTTCACCATGTTGACCAGGATGGTCTCAATCTCTTGACCTCGTGATCCACCTGCCTCGGCCTCCCAAAGTGCTGGGATTACAGGCTTGAGCCACTGCGCCCTGCTCCAATTCTCACTTCTTAGGAGCCTGTCATGAAACTCCTCAACCTGGTCGCTTAGTACCCACTTGCCAATCTGCCAGCTGCCACTACTCACGGCATCCAGCTCTATAATTAGAAACAAACTAAGCCCCAAAGTCACTTCACATGCCAAAATGAATTTCTAAAAACCAAACATTCACCCATGTCAATATAAGAAAATACAACTTTACTTCAAAAATGAATGTTTTCAGCAAAAATATCAAGCGGCAAATGCTTCTTAAACCATTTTATATTTTGAGCACATTGCTCTGACAGAGGGATCTCCAGTTAGGTGAAAACTACTTATGACATTGCTGAGGGTAGTGATTACACATCTGAATGTATCTGCACTAAGTTCAGTTCACAAAGGGAACCATCACATCAGTTGAAACTGTCTTGCACTTAGTAGGAGTTCAGTGTGAGTTAAATGAATGAGTATCTGTCTTAACTGGACATCTTGGGCACTGAAACTATCATTCCCAATCCAAATTATTCCTATTTTTCTGCTGCTTTTGAAAGCTTTGAGGAAAAAATATTAATCCAAAAGGGTTGAGAAATTCTGTAGCTAATAGGCTGATGTACTAAGAGAATTATTTAGCAAATGCCAAGTCCTGAGCCTTGTGTTCTCTACCAGAAGGCAAAGGCTGTGGTGACCCTGTTTGATTAGAGAAACTTGTGCCTTTATGTTTCTACCCATAAATCATGGATGGCAGTCTGGGTGTTCACCACCATCAGATAATAATAGAAACATTTTTTTTTTTTTGAGACAGAATCTTTCTCTGTCTCCCAGGCTAGAGTGCAATGGCACAATCGGCTCACTGCAACCTCCATCTCCCAGGTCTAAGCAATTCTCCTGCCTCAGCCTCCCAAGTAGCTGGGATTACAGGCATGTGCCATTACGCCCAGCTAATTTTTGTATTTTTAGTAGAGACGGGGTGTCACCATGTTGGTAAGGCTGGTCTCCAACTCCTGACCTCGTGATCCACCCACCTCGGCCTCCTAAAGTGCTGGGATTGCAGGCGTGAGCCACCACATCTGGCCAGCAACGTGTATTAATACAGAGCATTTCCTCTATGCCAGGGCCCTTCCGAGTCCTTTACATGCATTAACTCTCATCACTATCACAGCAACCCTAGGAAATAGGCACTGTTGTCATCTCCGTTTTACTGATATGAGAATCAAGGTACAAGGAAGGTGAGTTAACCCATCTAAAGTCGCACAGTAAGTGGAGGACCAGCTTTGAATGCAGGCAAGCTGGCTCCAGAGTCTGCTGAAGTCACCTCTACATTATATGGCCTGAGCAGCAGCAGACAGCCAAGTGAGTTGGAGTCATTCCTGGATATAGATGTAACCTGGAACCCATAAGCATTTCATCACCTCCTCACCCTTAAAGACTCTTCCCACCCTGTCCTGCAGCAGCCCGGGAGACTGATTTCTACATTCTAATTGAGCATGCAATGGGAGAGGTGAGTGTGACTTCGGCTCTCCCAAAAACCAGCATGGCTAATTTTTTTAGGTGGATGCCTATGTGTCCCTATCCATCTCCACATTTCTGGACGCTATACCACTTTGCCTGGCAGGGGAGAGAGAGGGTATAAGGAAAGTCACCTTTCCCTGGGACCACAAGGTCCTGTTTCTAGTGACCACAGCACTGCAATCACTAGGCAAGGCTCTTTCCTGTAAAGATCAATCAATACTGCCCCTGTCCCACGTTCCCACCCTTTCCTGCTCCTCAGCATACAACTGCTATCGATTACAGCAGAGCAGAGAAGCAAATGCCAAAATATATCAATCAATCACCAAGGTGGCCAAGAGACTTTATTAAAACCATTATGCCTTCTTCTGTTTTCCTGCCCACCCCAGCTTCCTCGACCCAGTGGCCATTTCTTTTGGAAGGTTTCCAAGAACTTTGCAGACATGATCTGATGGCTGGTGGAATTTCCTCTATGTGGGGAAAATTTAGACCCAGAGAAGGAGTAAGAACAAGTCCCACAGTGAGAAGATGGAAACCAGGTGTGTGAAAATATGTGCAAGTGTCTGTGCAGCACATATATGAGAATGTGCAAGTATGTGTGTTTGTTTAAAGAAAAACCTAGAACTTAGTCACATTTCAGAAACATTTGGTAATTATCGCTGAAGTTTTTACAAATCAATTCCTTCTGGTCGCTTAATGTCCTTCACTAAGTGGTTTAATTGTGAAATTTCACTTTATAATTGGGTTCATTTTAATGTGGAAAGAGGTAGATTTGCATAAGCAAATGACAGTTAACAAAACCCATTAGCAGAGAGGCAGGAATCCAAAAAACTGCACACCTGGGTAGTCAGCTTGGAGTCAAAGCCTGTGGCAAAGAAGTCCCTGCCCTCGCCCAGACCAAATTCCAGGCCTCTAAGCAGAGGGGAAGGAGGACACGCATTTCAAGTGCCTTAACACATTGATAGGAGGAGAGGAGACCCTCAGAGAGACAAAGTTTCATTTGCTTGTCAATGAAAAACCAAACATTTTTTCTTTTTTCTTTTTTTGAGGTGGAGTCTCACTCTGTCACCCAGGCTGGAGTACAATGGCCTGATCTTGGCTCACTGCAACCTCTGCCTCCCAGGTTCCAGTGATTCTCTTGCCTCAGCCTCCCCAGTAGTCGGGATTACAAGTGCCTGCCACCACGCCTGGCAAATTTTTGTATTTTTAGTAGAGATAGGGTTTCACCACATTGACTAATCTGGTCTCAAACTCCTGACCTCAAGTGTAAAACCCGCCTCGGCCTCTCAAAGTGATGGGATTACAGGGTGAGCCACCACTCCTGGACCAAAGACTTTTCTTTCTGAGGAAACTCTGGACAAGTATATTTTTTAACCACAGTTTTATACAGCTGTCTGACAACTCTTACTCCTGGTGAAAAGAGCAGCGGTGGGGGGACAGAGAATCTGCCTGCCAACTCTCCTCTGCCACAAACTAGGAAGGATCCTCATGCCTCAATTTCCTTTTCTGTAAAAAGAGAACCCAAGACCAGGTGCGGTGACTCATGCCTGTAATCCCAGCACTTTGGGAGGCCGAGGTGAGCAGATCATGAGGTCGGAAGATCATGACCAGCCTGGTCAACATAGTGAAACCCCATCTCTACTAAAAATACAAAAAAATTAGTATGGTGGTGCGCACCTGTAATCCCAGCTACTCAGGAGACTGAGGCAGAAGAATCGCTTGAACCCAGGAGGCGGATGTTGCAGTGAGCTGAGATTGCGCCACTGCACTCCAGCCTGAGCGACAGAGCAAGACTCCGTCTCAAAAAGAAAAAAAAAAAGAGAGAGAACCCAAAACTAGATTATGAGCTCTTATGTTTCCCAAACCTCCGCTAACATCACAAGTAATTGACTAATTCATTCACTCAACAGATATTTATTGTGCCCTTGCTATGTGTGGGTGCTGTACAAATTAGAGAGGAACTAGGGCTTCAGTGCTGGGGAACACGTAGCCACAGACAAGGTCCTACCCTCATGGAATATATTATCTAATGGGGTCTTATGGATTGAATTGCATCCCCCACCAAATTCATATGTTGAACCCTTAACTATTTAGAGATAGGGTCTTTTTTTTTTTTTTTTTTTTTTCCCCCCGAGATGGAGTTTAACTCTTGTTGTCCAGGCTGGAGTGCAGTGGCGCAATCTTGGCTCACTGCAACCTCTGTCTCAGGCTCAAGTGATTTTTCTATCTTAGCCTTCCAAGTAGTTGGGATTACAGGCTCAAGGCACCATGCTCAGCTCATTCTGTATTTTTAGAAGAGATGGGGTTTCACCATGTTGGCCAGACTGGTCTCGAACTCCTGATCTCAGGTGATCTGCCTGCCTCGGCCTCCCAAAGTGCTGGGATTATAGGCATGAGTCAAGGTGCCGGGATGACATAGGGTCTTTAAGGAAGTAATTAAGGTTAAAAAAGTCACAAGAGTGGGACCCTAATCCAGTAGGATTCATGTACTTATGAGAAAAAACAGAGATTCCCTCCTCCTCCCTCTCCCACCTGTGCACAAAGAGGTCATGGGAGGGCATAGGGAGAAGGCATCCACCGATAAGCCAAATAGGCTTCCGCAGAAACCAAGCTTCTTCCTAGCACCTTGGTCTTGAACATCCAGCCTCCAGAACTGTGAGAAAATAAATGTCTGTTGTTTAAGCCTCGCAGTCTGGAATTTTGCTTCGAGGCTGGAGCTGACTGCAACGGGGGTAAGCAGGCATGGGCACGGTATTACAGGAGCGCAGATTAGGGCCACTTCACCCAGGCTACAGGGGAAGGGAAGGTTTTTCCAGGGAACCTCCCATCCAAATATAGACCTGAAGGGTCAGGAAGATGAACAGGTGCAAACAGGAAAGAGTACTCAGGGCAGGACGCCCACACCTGTGAAGACCCAGAAGGAAGAGGAGCAAGTTCTGTCAGAGGACCTGAACACGTTGCTTTACAGATGGAGCCTGGAGGATCAGAGGAAGAGGGGGTAGAATGAGGCTGAGGAGGTCAGGGGAGCCAGCATGGGGGACGTTTCATAAGCAAACACCCTGATGATCCCAGAGGCCAACAAGCTCCTCTACCTTTGACACTTCAGACTCACCTCTTTGATGCTTCTGATTCTGCTGGAAAAAAAATGCCAACTTGGGCTCTGCAGGTTCCAAGAAGTAGCGAGCTTTCCTTGTCACCTAGTTGGCTGAATCATTCCTCGGCACGGCTGCATGTGTTCCTTGTGGAAATGCTTTGCTTGTTCATCCATAAGCTTCCTCCTTGCCTTTCAAAGCCTCTTCTGGGACAGCCTCTTCTGGTGCTTTCTTTCAGTTCTGCAAAATTCCTTTGCTTTTTATTAATAATTGCTAGTGTTTATTGCGTTAGTTAATGCTAACCATGTCCCAGGTGTTGTTTTAGGGGCTTTGTGTGTATTAGCTCTTTTAATCCTCACAACAACACTATGAAGCAGATTCTATTAATTCTAGTTTATGGATGAGGAAACTGAAGCACAGAGAGATTAAGTAGTCACTTGCCCAGGGCCACTCAGCTAACAAACAGAGGAGGCGGGATTAAAACCCAAGCAGTCTAGCTTGGGTGTCTATGTGCTGTCAAAAACAAACAAACAAACAAAAAAGATGGAAACTGAGGCTTGGCTAGGTTCTCCTAGCCGGGTTAAGCATTGGCACCAGGACTGGAACTGAGGTCTTCTTGATCCCATGGTCTCTGCTGTTCCCCCTTAGCAGGGCTGCCTCTTGAGGGAAAGGAGGAGCAGCAGATGAGTTTGATGATCACTCAGGAAGGAGATGAGCTAGGACTACCATGGGGTAATTGCAGAATAAGGGATACAATAGGAAGTCAAGGGCAAAGCCAGGTTTCTAGGTCAACTGTGTGGCCAAACCTTCATCATCTTCTGCCACTTTATTTTTTATTCATGCATTCTTTCATTCATTTGACACATACTGTGTTTCAGGCACTTGCTAGGAAAAGCAGGAATAGGGGAGCAGGTAGATACTGAGATTGGCCATGACACTTACAGGGCCTTACTCCTTCCCCTTGTCTATGGAGCTCAAGGGCTTTGCCTTCTAGGGATGGAGTTGATAAATAAATTATTACAGTGTGATTACACATATATCAATATATCTACATCTATCTGTCTATTAAGGCATGTACCTACCTACAAAAGGAGTACAAGGAAGACAGCCCGTCTCTGCCTAAAGAAGTCAGGGGAGGCCTCGCCCTAGAGAGGGTACCACTGGAGCCAGTGCTCAAGGGTATGATAGGAATATCCTAGGAGAATATCGGGGATCCTCAGAGCTTCCCTGGAAAGTCTGTGTCTGATGCCTGAGCTCTTGGACCACAGGGTCATTAAATTCAGATATTCACTCTGAACGAAGCCTCAGAGACCCTCTCTATCCACAGGTGAGCCAACCGAGCAGAGCCAGTCCTGGCATGAAACGGAATTTCAGGAAGCACCCCCTCTTCAGCCATGCAGGCGCCAACCCACCAGCACCACCCTGCAAGCGAGGCCTCACCCTGGTCCCAAGGCACAGCTCTCTCCAAGGGTCACACAGCCGGGGGTGGCAAGGACTCAACAGCCAACAGTGCAAGAACCCCTGCCGCCTGCGCTCCAGTCTTCTGCGTTTTCTGACTGTGACGAGCAAGGGAGAGGGAGAAGGAAAAGAAGGGAAGTGGAGTCAAGAAATGCACCGTGATCTCCTGTTCCTATAACTGAAAAGACAGCTCTGAATTTCTATATCCATCCACTTCAAGTTCCAGCCTTCCTTCCTCAAGCCTTACGTTTAGAAATGAGGATCACTTCCCCCACAGAGCCCTTCCCTCCCCTCTCTCTACCACCTGCTCTTCCAATTCCACACCTTTTCAATATTTATTTCAGCTGCAGATTCTCTTTCAAAAGCTGGCAGGGCGAGCCCTGCAGCGCCCACCTCCGAGGCCAGAGGGTTGCAGTTCTACAATGAGCCAGAAGGGGGCAGGCCTGCTCTGAGTCTCCCTCCTGCCCCGACCATCCCAGCCCCCAGCACCAGTCACAACTCCTTAGAGATGCAAATTGAGAGGCAGCCTTCCTAACCCGAGAGGGCTGCTAATTTTCTGACAGTATGCAGATTTCCATCTTGCCTTTGCCTGGGTTTATTTGTTTTACTTTGCAATAAATTTAATACAGACTCCCTGAAGCAGAGAGGCAGATGGACTATAAAGTGCATTTTGAGCAGCCTTAGTTACTAGGTTAGTGTGGGTTTTGATCCCTGCTTAAATTATATCTATGAAATTTGACATGGATTTGGGTCTGGGGTTTGCTGGCTCCTTGGTGCTCTGGAGCGGCTTTTAGAGAATTTACAAGGGTTGATTTGATTATTGGGGCTTTAATTTCTCACAGAGGCTAACGAGGAGGCTGGGCAGCCCGGCTGGGGCCTAGCAGGAAGATGGAAAGGCTGGAATACGTTGAATTTCTACCTGCCCCAGTGTTCCCGGTATTGAAATCGTTTTCTCATGCCCCTCAAGGGGCCCTAAGTCACTCTCACCAAAGAGCTGCATGCAGAAACCTGTTCCGATTCCCTGGGTAGTTGTGCAGCCAGGAGCTAGCTCAGAGTCTACGAAAAAAGTCAGATGCACATATGGGGCAGACATAACTAAAACATCTATAAAGAAACATTAACAAGAATGCACAAATCAGCATTGTATAACAATGTAAATTGGACATGAGGGGACTTGGCAGAAGGACAAAAGTCACAACGCACTCCTGTTAACCCCTTTGCCTTGTGCGGGAGTGTGCGACCTCCCGCTTCCCTGCTGCCTTCCAGCAGACCCCTGAAGAAAGGAGGTGGAAGGAACTAGGAATGCGATGAGTTGGGTTCTTGTCCTGGCTCCACTGATGACTTCTTTGTTCAGATATTTGGGTAATATATTTAATTTCTCCGAGCTTTAGTTTCCCTCTGCCCAGTTGGAATTCCATTATCATGAGGATCAAGTAAGAGAACTTTGAAAAGAATGTGTCTAGGCTGTAAATGACCAGACCATACAAAGTGAGTACATGGACAGATGTCACTCCCCAGTTGTGAAATGATCGTTGACAGATAAGGGTAGCAGGGCTTCGAGGCCAGAGGGGAGTTATTAATGGGATTTCCAAAGCCAGTCCGTGAGGCGACACTGGTGGAATGAGTTGGGTTTCACAATCTAGGCAAGGTGTGATGGCCAGTTTTCTTTTCTTTTCTTTTCTTTTCTTTTTTTTTTTTTTTTGAGTCGGAGTTTCGCTCTTGTTACCCAGGCTGGAGTGCAATGGCGAGATCTCCGCTCACCGCAACCTCCGCCTCCTGGGTTCAGGCAATTCTCCTGCCTCAGCCTCCTGAGTAGCTGGGATTACAGGCACGCGCCACCATATCCAGCTAATTTTTTGTATTTTTAGTAGAGACGGGGTTTCACCATGTTGACCAGGATGGTCTCGATTTCTTGACCTTGTGATCCACCCGTCTCAGCCTCCCAAAGTGCTGGGATTATAGGCTTGAGCCACCGCGCCCGGCCTCGACAGCCAGTTTTCTCACTGTTGGTGAGTTCTGCTCACCTGTGTGCGAAGACTGCCTGCCAACAGAGGACACCCTGAGAAGGCTCCAGCAGCAGCAGCAGCAGAGAAGGATTGTCCCGCAGAGCTCTGAGGGCTTAGCCACCCTGGTTGTGGGAGACGGGCAGGGGCTGATGCTGCAGATTCATCTTCTCCCACGGGAAACCGAGTGTAGGCAGAGCCTGGAGACAGAGGAGGAGGGAGGGGAGGGAGAGGAGGGAGAGGAAGGAGGGCAGGGAGGGGAAGGAGTGGAGGGAGGGCTACTTCCCTCCACTCCTTCCCCCTGCCTCCCTCCTCTGCATCTTCACCTCTCCTGGGCCAGAGGCTGGAGCAGGAAAGGAAACTTGAGGGAAAACTAAGAGGAATGTGTTTAAAGAGCCAAGAAGAGCAAAGATTTGGGAGCCAGCAGAGAAAAGGGGTAGAGAGTAGGAAGAGGCAGGTCAGGGAGAAAGGAAGGAACCATGACACGTTGATATTTACGCCTAAACTTTGAGGAGGATTGTGAACTACTGGGGGAAGGGGAAAGAAATGAGAGAAGAGAAGGGAAATAACCAGCTTCACAGGAAGGAGGGGGTGGGGTTCAGGGGAGGTGGAGGCTGAGATTAAATGGAAATGAGGGGCTTGGTCACCAGGGAGAAAGAAGCTGGAAGCTTTGGCAGCAGTTTGTCTATTAGGAGGAAAGGCGGGGATCAAAGAAGCTGTGGTGTGTCTATACACACAACCGAATTGGAAAATAACTAGCTGATTCTGCCCACAGCAGGACGGAGGGGGAAGGGAGCAAAAACTGACTGAATTCTTTCCCAAACAACAATGGCTCTCCCTGCTCATGTCTCCCTTCTATCTGTCCCTCTATCGCCTTAAGAACACACTAAACCGAAACTGTTGGGTTGTGAAGATTTTGTTAAAATAAATTTGGTGACTTCCCCTCTGCCCCAATGACCTGTGTGTTCAAGGGAATGGAAACCCTACATCCTGTCCCAGATAGAGGAAGGGAGACGGTAGCTGAGGCAGGGAAGGAGGACCAAAGAGGGACGTGGCAGTGAGAGCAAACCAGCGGATGCTGTGGTCTTCACGGGACCCTCTGAGGGAGAATGAAGACATCCAGAAGCAGTGGCCGCAGGCCGAAAGTTCACACAGGCTCTCCAGAACTGCAGCAGAGGCAGCAGCACCGGGACCCACGCTGGGTCTCTGCCTGACCCTGTGCTTTCAGAGAGCCCACAAAGCCTCTCCTCCAGGAGAGCCCTCCACCTTCCAGACCACTTAGCAGGTGCCCAGGCGGGCCAAGGGACCACTGTCTGGGCAAAGGTGGCGGTGGAGTGTGGACAGATCTAAGGCCAAGGCCCACAGACTCCTCAAACGCAGAACAGAGTTGGGGACAGGAACTGGGGTGGAGCAGGGGGCCTGTGGCCAGGGCCTCCATGTGGGTGCCCTAGCCTGTAAGAGTCAGCAGCAGTGCTGAGTGGGGAGGAGCCTGGTTTCCTGGGTGGAGGCAAGGAAGGAATCAAGGTGGCTGAAGGTTAGAGGCTTTGAGGGGAAATGGGGCAGGGGCAAGCCTCTGATTGCATGTGTGTGTGCATGTGTGTGTGTGTGTGTGTGCCGTGCGTGTGTGTGTGTGTGTTGCAGAGAAGGGTGGAGGAACAGAGCCATACATCTGCCTTTTGCAATCTTCGGGATACACTGTACTAACATTTTAAGAATCATTCATTGTTTATCTGAAATTCAGTTTGACTGGCTAGCATTTATTTTGTCTGGCATCCCTATTCTGGGTCCAAGGGATTGCAGTGGTGACCACAAGGTTTGTGTCACAAATTGGGTGAGGCCAGGGAACCCTATGGGCCTCAGAGGTCAGGGTCTTACAACATGCCATTGAGCCTTACCCATGCCCAGGTCCAATCAGTGTGTCCCAGCCATGGCTGGGGTTGGGAGAGCAGTGTCATTTGCAGGCACCCTGGCCCATGGGAGAGCTTGGCCAAAACCTCATCTCTGCCAGTGCCTTTGGAGGGAACCAGGATGCAGCAAGATAAGAGCAACACCCCCAGAGGGAAAGACTGCCTTTTTTCTACATCCATGGGAGTCTCGGAGGCTAGCGAGGCCTGAACCAAACCAATAAGAAAGACTTTCCTCCCCAGGGAGAGCAGCTTGCCTCAGTCCTTCTGAGGAGTGTAACTAACACTTTTCTCAAGCCCTTCCCAGTTCACACAACTCTAAACGATCCTTCCCTAACCTAAAACTCTCCTCCTTCAGCGGATGCTCTTTCAAATTCTGTTCAGAATCCAGCCTCTAAAATGCTACATTCCAAGAGGAAAGAAAATAAATAAATACGTAAATCAATAATAATCCTACAGGAATTTCAAACTCAGTTATGAACACAGAAACTCAAGGGTGGTCGAATGAAAAAGGGTAGACTGAAAGGATTTCTTAATCCAGAAAACTTTTATAATGATATGACAAATAACAGAGAACTAAGTAAAATTAAAACAATAAAAAAAAGTATACCCAGCAAGCAGCGTCCTGTTAAATAATTGGATGAGATTCATCAGAGTAGCAACTGGTGCTGAGCATTTTTTAATTTTCTCCCTGCTGGAGCCTCTCCTTTCACAGTTTCAACAAATAGATTAACTACTTGTCAGCGACGAGGCCTTCACACAGCAAAAAATTGAATTCTTCAGTATTTATCTTCCCCTTTATACCCCCTGCCCAAAGAGAAACATCCAATCACTTTTCTTTAAAGACCCCAAATCTAGAAATGATTAATTTTGTCCCATGATGCAAAGGGTTAATTCCACCATGTTACACGAAGGAAAGCCAGGTTTGATAAGAATTGCTAATTGCCTTTTCCTTAGGAAGGAATGAACTTTGAAAGGGCAAAAGACAGAGGCAGCTTCATCCCTTCAGCGATGCACTTGTGGCAAGTGAGGGCCCACTGGTGTCACGGTGTTTTAGACAAACAAAGGTTCTGCAGGGGTTGGACTGGAGAAGAATGGCAAGCCCACTGAGGCACACCCTGCAACAGAGAAGCCACAGCCACGGGCCGGCTGTGGCAAGGCTGTCATTTCAGGAAAACAACATAATGGTTCAAATTGGACTCATTGTTAACATTTTTTTGCTTTAGCATTTTGTTAGCATTCAATTAATTCGTAGTTAGAATAGAGCTACAAACATTGGGAAGTCATACCTATTTTTGGTTTGTACTTTTTAGGTTACAGTATGATATAAATGATGTAGGTCAATATTTGATGTCTGGGGGGAATATCCTTCCTTTTTTCAAAGTGGTGTGATGTTAATCAAATATGAGAACCAATGGGAGGCTGAGAGAACAGCCTAATCCTCACATAATTCACTCGGTAACGTGGGCAAGGCTGTGGCTTACTCAGTGTTAATTGGAAAACAGGGATTATAGGCCGTTGAGGTGGCTCACACCTGTAATCCCAGCACTTTGGGAGGCTGAGGCAGGTGGATCATTTGAGGCCAGGAGTTTGAGATCAGCTTGGCCAACATGACAAAATCCCATCTCTACTAAAAATACAAAAATCCACCAGGCATGGTGGCCAGTGCCTGTAGTCCCAGCTGCTCAGGAGGCTGAGGCAGAAGAATCACTTGAGCCTGGGAGGTAGAGGTTGCAGTGAGCTGAGATCATGCCACTGCACTCCAGCCTGGGTGACAGAGCAAGACCTTGTCTCAAAAAAAAAAAAAAAAAAGTTCTGAAATAGTTATTCCGCGCCCATTGTCTCCGGATCAAACAAGATAATGGATGTGGAAAAACTATTTCGAAAAGTGCTGTTTAAACCATTAAGGAAAGTGTTTTTCCATGGCGTTGTAATAAAGGGTAAGCAGTCTACTCTGAGGCAGATTGTTCTTGAATATGCGTGCTTGAACTCACTGAGAGGAAGGAGTTGTCAGCTCCAACATGGTTAATCTAAGAAGACCTCAGGGAGGAGAAGGAGGAAAAGGATAGAGGAAGGAACTTGTATTTAGCCCATTGGTACCTGGCTCAGCTCAGAGACCCTGCTGTGCAGTCTCTCCAACCATGCTCCATGAAGCCACTGGTCACAGGCCTTTCTGTTCTGTCCAGGTCCTGCTCTGCTTCCTCTGTTCTCTTGCCTCCCAGGACCCGTTTCTGAGTTAGTCTGAGAAATGAGACAGAAGTGATATTACTTAATGGGAAGACACTTGTCAGTTTTTCCTGCTCTGGCCTGACCCAACTTTCTAATCAGCAGTTTTGCATTCAAGATTGGACCCACCTAAGTAAAACTCATGCAGATGCGATTCAGTCAGACATTTCAGGGGCTTCTCTGAAGGAGAGGAAGCAGAAGTGGTGCACTGGTGCCAAGTAAGCATGTTTCAAAAAATAGCATGGAAATATAAATTAGTGACATCTTAGGAGGCAATTCAGACACTTGTTATTCCCAGCCTGCCGCAGCAATTTCAGAGTAGTTGGTTTTTTGACATCAAAAGGTAAGAGACTGCTCAGCTATTGGGTTATTTTGGTATTTTACTGGCTAGTGCATGAAATATCAAACTATCTTACCAATTGAGAATGCAACACAATCTTTTTTTACAAGTAAAGACAAATTAAAGATTCAATGTAAAATAGCATATCATTTACAATAGCAACAAAATTGTAAAGAATATGAGAAGCAGTCTAACAAATAATATATAAAACATTTTATGGAGAAAGATTTTAAAACCTATTAGAGAACATAAAAGAAAACCTGAATAAGTGAAAGAATCTTTCATGATTATGGAAGAGATGACTTTGTACAATGCCAATTCTCCCAAAATAAAAAATTTAATTCATTCCAATAAGAATCCCAGTAGATTGGGGAGAGGGGGATGAATTTGACAAACATTCAAAAATTGGTGATGAAGAATACAAGTCAACTAATGCTAAAGTGGTTTTTAAAAAATAAAAATGAAAAAGAGCAAAAAGAAGGATCAGACTCTACCAGACATTAAAAAATATCACAAGAACAGCGTTGTGAAAATA